GATGCATAGCGCACACGATGGAAGCTTAGTAGCTGTGGAATTGTGTGGAGCCGCCGGCGCGGCGCCTCTCCGACCCCGCGTGGTCACTCGAATGGGCGGACAGCAACTTCAGGCTCTGCGTGTTGGTACGTGGTCGGTGGGCGATTGTGCATGTGGACGGTCGGCGTTCATTTTCATCCTCGAGGATGGATTTGTAGACGGATGAGGCCGAAATGGATGATGTATAGGCACGCATGAACGACGTCTGCTGTCCAAGAGTCCGCTCGGGAGGGTATCTGCGTTGAGACTAGAAGGTGGGGATAATACACTAACTCAAGCGCGATGTGGACGAGGACTGAGCAGGAAACGGTGGCTGTGCTCGGCCACTTTCTCGCTTTCAACTTTTCTGGTTTTTTCTGCAGATCTGGTTGCCAGTCGGGACCCTGCTCGACGACTTGCGGTCTAACGCCAGATGCGTCGGAACCGAGAATTCACCTCTGCATATGTCTGCCTTGTCTCCGAGTGAACGAACGGGAGGCACTATCCGGTTCCCAACTCCGAGTCCACTGTCCGAGCGGCGTGAGCAACCTGGGCTGAAGTTCTGCCCGCACGATATCTAGAACACTTCGAGCGCTCGTTTGGTCAAGAGTACCTAGCTGCGCGCCTTAGATTCGTCTGGCGAGTTCTGCCCCTCCGACTCCCAATTTCGAGTTTGGCGAATGCGGCGCCTGAAAAACCCCTACTAGTGTCTTCTGAGTCGACGCTTGAACCACCGATTGCTCAATCCAACTTACTACGATTCATCTACCATTGCAAGACCCCGCTCCACGCGACCGACCGATAGGTATCTTCACGAACGTCCCGCTTGCGCTCGTGCCTGTCTGAAGCTCCAGCACTGCACGGTCCCGCGTCGAACGTTCCGGACCGCCGCAAAGCCGAGGACCCCAGCTTCAACGTCTAACGCAAATCTTACCCCTCCAAGGTCGCTCCAATCTACGCTCTATGGCCGAGTCAAGTATGTATCCGATAGCACGCTATCTCTGTCCGTGTCCATTATTAAGCTATGCAGCTGCACACTATATCGCTGTCCGATCTCTGGTTCAAGATTCAACTCACTTATCCAAATCCCCCATGGACCACCGTAAGAACACATCTCACCGAGGGGTTAATATTACTCCCGCCCGATTCGAAGCCACAGCTCCAGCTCTGTTCCCCTTCTGACCTCTACAACCGCGCATCTCATCCCCATCAAGTTCCGCTCCGACTCATGTCCGTCCCTCTCCATCGCGCCGAGATGTCTCTCTCAATTACATGTACGCTTACTTACCCACTGACTACAGCGGAATGAATAATCGCTCTTTCTCTCCGCGTCCTGTCCTCGATTTATTAAATTGAAATTTGACACCCACCCCCTGCCAGTGCGTCGACTCTGATTAAAGTTTACAGGCTGCAGATGGGGCGCTGGATTAAACGAGCATGTCATGTTTAATTGAACTTGGAGTGCAGTCGAATTGATGTTGAACGGTCGAGCTGCCCCTGCGCCATCTATCGGGTTGACATTCGTGTACATGAGCGGCCTGGTGGTGTGGTGGTTACACATCCCCTCTTCATAGTAGCTCACTCGACATTGTACATGTGGGAGTCCCTTGTTCGACTCAAGGCCGGGCTATCAGCTTCAGGTGCTGTTTTTTGGCATTTCCCTTCCCATTTCTTTTATGCTACCGGAAATTGTGCATCTAATCAACTTGAGGGATTATATAAAGCAGGTCTGGTGGTGTAGCGGTAACACACCCTCTTCTGCTCAGGAAGAAGATGAGGTAGTTTCTGTGGGTGTCACTTGTTCGGCTCAAGGTCAGGCCGTGTTGCTCTTTATCTTCCTTTTTTATTTCTTCCGCGCTGGCAAAACCTGTGCATCTACTTACGTTAAAAGAGTCCATAGGAATGGCCTGGTGTAATGGGAACATCCCGCTTCGTTTCGGAATTTCAGGAAGCCTTTGCAGGAGTCCCTTGTTAAATTCAAGGCCGGGCCATTCGTTGTCGTTGTTGGGTTTTCGTTTACACAATTTTTCAGCGCTCCAAAAGCGCCTCACATTTCAGCCCGCTTTCAATCAAGATTCAGTTTTTTGACTCGCAAAACTACCGCGCTGCAGAGCCCCAGGACGCGTTGCATTTCAAAAGTTGTTTCCCCATCAACAAGTCACACGTGATCGCGCCATGGCCACTGCCACTCCTCATGTCTTCTCCATTCACCTCCAAACTCGGGACCAATTACTGTCCGCAGGACCGGGAGATATTCGGGATTAAAACGCTCCTCGTCGACCCCGTCCGTCGACTTCAGCGGCTTGACGATGAAATCGCCGATTTGCGGAAGGCGCTCGAGAAACTGGCAGCTGAGCGCGACAGCCTCGACGCCTACGTCGACGCTCATAGAGCCCTTATCTCTCCGGCTCGACGGCTTCCACTCGACATCATCCGAGAAATCTTTATAGCCTGCATTCCAACACACCGAAACTGTGTTATGAGTGCCAGCGAGGCGCCTCTTCTACTAGGTCGCGTATGCGGCTCGTGGAGAACCATTTCGCTCTCGACACCCCGCCTGTGGTCGAGCCTCCATGTAGTGGAGCCTATTGCCCTATATAACTCGGCTCTTAAGCCGTTCAAAGAGAAGATGGCGCAGCGAGTGGAGACCACCAAGACGTGGCTAGGTCGATCCGGCCAGTGCCCTCTGTCCATATCGCTGCAATGCGCAACTCACCGCATCGCTTTCCCTTCGGCTACCCAAGGCCTCCTACGGGCCCTGCTTCCATTTGCATCTCGTTGGGAGCACATCAGCTTCACGGCCAGTTTTTCAGTTCTAGCGCCCACGTCGCACCTTACCGGGGCGGATGTGCCGATGCTCAGGTCGGTGAACATCCGCGAATACTCTACCGGAAACCCGGAAGATACTGTCCTATGGGACTCGCTGGGCTTCCTTCGTGCCCCCGAAATATCTTTATTTTCCGTTTTCTGCGTTGGAATCAGCAGTCCACTGGATTTACCGCTTCGCTGGAACGGCTTAACAGATCTTTCACTCGTTTCTGGCTGGTCAAGTGAAATATCCCTGATGGTTATATCTCGGTGTCCTCAGTTGCGGACCTGCCGCCTGGCCGTGAACAGTCCCGAAAATGGCAACCGAGTAGGAGAGCCTAATCTCGAGCTCTCCTTCCTCCATACACTGGACATACAGTATAATGGCAACTTTTCGAATAAATACTGTTCGCCACCTGTTTACCCACCTCTTCCTGCCGCAATTGCGGCATTTGAAGCTTCGTGGACATCCGAATTATGAAGACACCGTCTTCTGCGGTCCTTTGTTCGCCCGTACGCCGCGCATCGAAACTCTTGACCTCAGCCCGGAATCGTTTTCGAAGATTTCTCTGGCTGATCTCCTTGGCGTGATACCACCTACCGTTCGGGAGATTAGCATTGTCGCGACCATACTGAACTCTTGGCTCGCGCCAGTGATCGAGGGCAGCATTTTTGATGACAAGATGTTGAAATCTCTCACCCCCTCTCCGGATCTCCCCACTCCTCGTTGCCCAGGCTTACAGGTGCTCGAAATAAACCACCCCTGCTCCTTCTCCGACGAGACGCTCTTGCGCTTCATCAAATCGCGGATGCTGACGCGTGTTGTACTTCGCCTTGACCGGGAGATGGAGTTTGATCTCCGTCCGGAATTGCAGCCATTGATCCAGAATGGGCTTCACCTCGCCCTAACGTACGGTCGTCAACCGACGCCTGCGCCGCTCCACCTTTCACCTTGGGATGGTCTGGTGGACGGGCCGAAATCCTTGAATGTACGGAATTAAATCGAATGGTGGGAATATTCCACCTATCTTTGACCGTAGCGTACATACATTACATACCTGCGTGTTTGAACCTTAAAATTGACCATTTGACCTTCTGGCTGCAGCAGTGCAACGCGTTCTGCGAGAAAGTCACCAGTCATATAATACCTTGTGATGGTTTGCCTCGAACACCGGTTCAAAGTATTCTTTGGAATGTCTGAAATATTTGAAGGACACGCAATCCCTTGAAATTTAACCAAAAGGTAGAGGTCTATACTACATATTCGATGTCCAACGTCCGGAGAGATTCAATAATCGTCTTAATATTAGGTCTATCGCGAAAATTCTGGGCCCATGCAGCTATGACGACGCCCCAGAGGCCATCGAACATGGACGTCGGCCGTTCCGGTCTCTCTCCAGCAATCACCTTCAGCATGGCCGCGACATCTGGCGAGACACCCGAGAAAGGTGGACGACCGGTGTGCAACTGCAAAAAAGTTATATACAAGACCATCTGCCATTGACCGCCACCCGTACCTCGAGACAGACGCACGCGAACGCGTACACATCGCTCGCGGGTGTCCGCTTAAATTTAGCACACTCGAAGGCCGCCGGTTGGATTAGCTCCGACGCAAACCAGCGCGCACTGCCGGCATGGTGGGCCGTAGACGTAAACGCGGCGCTAGACGTGGACGTGACGTCTATGATGGCCGTCAGCCCATACATTGACTATGGAGCCCCACAGGAGTAGGAGGGTAGCATAGGAGCAAATCATCTCGTATGCGCCGAATACCACTCCGGGGCGAGGACCGACACGCGAGGAACGAGCGCGGGCGCAGGGAGGGACAGATGGCTGGTTTGCAGCATCATTTCCCCTCCCCAGGGATGCGCACGCCGCGCGGACAGTACAATGGAGAAACGCTCGTCGCCGTCGAATGGGCTTCGTTGGGAACACCGCCCGCCGCAGAGTAAAGTGCAGGGGCGTAGATGGCGAGCGCCGACGAATGGGACGTGGGCTCGAAACGAAGCGCGCGACGAGAAAGAAGAGAGCGCCGTGCCGCATAGACAGAGCGTGCATTTGCACCCCATCGTGCCCGTACTCGCTCCCTGCATTCCAGCCCGGCGCGCCATGAAAGACCACAGCCCCACACACCGCTTCCGTCCCCACACGAACGACGAGGCATACTCCGCTGGCAAAAACCCGCGATAGAGAAGAAGGCAGGCGCAGGGAGCAGGGAGCGCGGAGGTGATGAGTGATACGCAGAAACGCAGGCGCATACGAGGAGACAATGAAATACAGTCACAGGGTGTGTACCGCCCAGGATGCGGTGCGGCCCCTCCCTTATCACCCTTGTCACGCTCTCCCCGGGCTCGGCCACCAGGCACGCCCTCCCCGCGGGCCAGGACGACCACCCGAGGCGCGCGATGAGCGGAAGAGGGTGTCGTCCCGCAAGACATTCGGGTGCTCGCACCCGCATTCGCGCCTGCACAACAGCACGAAAATCCCGCGCACACACCGCTTCCACCCCCACGAAAGACGGGGCACACTCCGCTGGCAAAAGCCGCGATGGAAAGGCGGGAGCAGGGAGCACGGAGGGAGGAAGGAGAGACGCGCAGAAACGCAGTCGCAGCGGATGTACTGCACAAGATAGCACAGAATGCGGCGCGGTCTCCTCCTTCCCTTATGGCGCTCTCCCTGGGCTCAGGCGCCAGGCACGCCCTCCCCGCGGGCCAGTAAACTCTTCACACCCTCGTATCACAACGCACCCCGTCGTCTGAGCGCGCTCACATCCGCGCACCGCACACCAGTGACATCCTCAGCTCAGAGATAGCCAGCGAAGGAGGGGGATGGGAGGCAGGGAGGCCGCAACGTGGAACAAGCAGTGGACAACGAAGGCTAGAGGCGCGCGGACGCAGACGAAAGCGAGCGAAGAGGAAAGATGCACGTCCCGCCCCGCCTTGCGAGCCTGCGGGGTCGCTGTCGACGGTCGGCCGCGTCGGAGTGTCCTCTCTTCCCCCGCGCTCTCGTCCTGATCTCTACAATGCGTCTCGTCTTGGCCTCGACATGCCGCTCCCCGCTCCCGCTCCCGCCCGCACCTGAAGTCTCCGTTCCGGGTCCCTCGTGGCCATCCGGCAGTCGGATGTGCTACCAGGGATGGGCGTGGCGTCTGCGCGTTGCTCCTCGAGTTCGTACTGCGGCGGCCCGCTCTTCGCAGCGCTCGCGCAGGGGCAGGGGTGAAGCGGCTGAGCTGGACGAATTACGACGACCCGGCACAGGTGGAGCTCGAGCTGGGGCTGGGGCTAAGGCTGCGCTGCGCGGAGGGGTGGGGTGGGGTATATGGGGGTGCAGGGAGGGCGGGGAAGGGGTGTGGCACATGGAGCGCATGCAGTCGTAGCTGACGAGAGGAGAGCCCCGATGACTTGATTTGCATTTGTGTATAGGTATAGCAAACGGAGGCTGGTGAAGAGTGGAGTCCCCAGGAATGCGAGCAAGCGCGCAGCCGCTGGCGGAACTTGGCGCTAGACACTGAAATTGAGGTCAGCGCTCAGCGACGAATGGCGGAGTGAGGGCAGGGTTACTTGTACGTGCCAGTCCGACAGTGCAGACAGAGGCGTGGGCGGGGGCAAGGATCCCTGATCCCTCGCCCTCGGAGGTGGACACCCACCCGCCCCGCTGCGCGCTTGAAGCGCATTCAGCATGTAGTGTTCCAGTACGTGAGGCGTGGGACGGTGTTCTAGTGCGACCCGGAGACGTGGCGCGCGCATCCTCGCAGGCGGGTAACAGCCTTGGGGGAAACGGCGAGAGAGGTGGGACTCCAAAGTTTCTACTTCTACTGGCGTACTACCATTCGTCGGGGCCGATACCCTGCGTCGGTGTGTTGGTGTGGTGCACGGCTGGACTTCTGGAACGAGGAAAGTTGGCATTAGTACCAGAAGTAAGTAAAGGATAGAGGAAAAGGCGCACGGCTTGGCTAGCCGGGCTCGCGGGATACTACTTCACACGAGGCGTAAACAGGGCACCAAGCGTCGGCA